GTGGGTTTTTTTATTATGTGGGGTTTTGTTTTCAGTTTTGTAAAATTTTGTGATAATGTTGTTATATTTTTATGGCCAATTTCAATATTAAATGGTTTGACTGTGTGTTGGAGTTTTTCGGATAAACCAGTGACATATGGTATTGAGATATATTTGGCATTTGTTTTGTCTTTATTATATTGTTAGTTGTTATAGTATTTGTGGATACGTTTTTGCATTATTGTGTTGATGAGTTTTATAGGATAGTTATTTTGGATTAGTGTATCTTTGACTTTTTGAATTGCTATGTTTCTATATCCAGGGTTCGATAATTTGATAGCTCTGTCTGCTAGACCTATAATAACTGATTTTTTTTGGGGTATGTGGTGTTCTGATGTAAAGTTTAAGTATCGTCCTGACCAGGTAGCTTTTGTATACCACTTAGTTTTTAATGTATTTCTTTTGTTGTGTATAGTTAAATCTAGAAAGTTTAAAGATTTGTTGTTTTCAGTCTCGATAGTAAATTGTAATTTTGAGTGGTAAGCATTGAATGTATCTAGTATATTGTTGGTTTCTGTTTTTTGTATAAGTAAAATACAGTCGTCGACGTATCTAAAAATAGAAAATGGATTTCGTATTTAATTTTTGTAATTGTGTTTGTTCTAAGTCTTCCATGACAAGTTGGGCAATGATGCTAGATATTGGTGCTCCCATTGCTAAGCCTTCAGTTTGTTTATAATATTGACTATTAAATGTGAAATATGTAGATGTGAGTGTGTCAATTAATCCTATTAGAAATTCGTTAAGAGGTATGTCTGTAATTTTTTTTATTTCAGGCCATAGTTTTTCGATTATTTTTTTACTACAATCTAGTGGTACGTTTGTGTATAAGGAGGTGACATCCAATGATATAAGAATATGGTTGTCAGGTACATGTATATTGGAGATTTTTTCTTTGAATTGCCATGAGTCTTTAATGTGGTGTTGGCTTTTACCTGCTACGTTTTTTAGTATGTTCGTTAAGAATTTTGAAGTTAGTTGGTATGGGGATTGTATGTATGATACTATTGACCGTAAGGGTGTGTTTGTCTTGTGTAACTTTGGTAATCCATAGATATTGGGTGTGTGTTGTATACTCTAAGAGATTTTGCGATGTTTGTTGGGATGTATTTTTTTTCCTAGTTGGTGATTAGTTTATTGTTTTTACTTAGGTATATATTTGTTGGGTCATTCAGTATATTTTCATATGTGTTTGTGTTGCTTAGTAATGTGTGCATTTTATTTTGATATTCAATAGTTGGCATAATGACTGTTTTGTTAGTTTTATCTGGACGTAGAATGGTGATTTCTGGGTGTTCTTTTATGAATTTTTTAGTATTATGTATTTTTTGTTGAGTTTTTTATCATTTGGGTCTATTTTGGCATTTTTATATTTGTTTTTGAAATTAGTAATTGTTTTCACAACTTTTGCTCTGATGTTGTTTTTAGCTTCTGTTGGGATTTGGGCTATTCCTGTTTCTACACTGGCCAATATATTGTGAATAGGTAGGTTTTTTGAGAGAGCATTGGTTGCAAAATTTGGTCCTAAACAAGTATTTCTTTTATTTCCGTAGGAATTGTTAGGTTTGCTAGATTTTCGATCTATTTGTTTGTGCTATTATCATCAATGATCGTTTGTGGAGTGTGTTCAAGTGTGTTGAATTTTTTTATATTTTTATTTTTACATTTTTTGAATATATTTTTAATTTTTTTGTTTTTATATGAGTAAAAGTTATATGTTATGTGGTTTGGTAAGTGATTATTAAGTTGTGTTTTTAATTTGTTTATGTTGTTTTGAGTTTGGTTGATGGATTTAATTGTGTCAGTTATTATTAAGTTTGGTAATTTTAGTTTTAAATTTATTAATGACATATCCCATTTGTACTGCAGGTGTACATCATTTAGAGAAATATGGTTAGTATTGAAATTGAGAAAGTTAGGAATTATATTACTTGTTTTATATTGGACTATTAATACTATTCAAACATACAACCTCTTGTTTGCTCAAAATTGAGTAGCTTTTAATTTTCATCAGACATCCAAACATCCAATACATCTACAATATACCTACAAGCCACCTTTCTTTACATACATGCACTATCCTTTAAAAATAACAAACATCTACAATCTAACTGAAACAGAATCCCAAAAACTTCTTCTTATAATTTTTGATTCACGTTCTGTGCCAGTTGAAAAAGAATCCCCAGTATATTATGAATTTCCAATTAATAAAAAAAACTCAAAATGAATTAATGCTGGTTAAAAATCTACAAAATCAATTTAGATTAAATATTAAAATCAAACTGCCCCGTATTTACCAGAGAAAACGTAATTGTACACCACTAATTTGTCAATAGTATGAAACGATGCCCTGTTTACACTCATGTATCATTTATGTCTGTAACAATCCGTCCATAAATTTACCTTAGCAACGAAACAACAGTCTCAACCTGAACACCATCTCAACCGCATTGTTTCCTTTGTCAAACATCTATTTAATTATTTGGGTCTGAACCGAGTACACGCTAGCGTAGTATATCCGTGTCTATGTAAAGGGGGACTAACTGTTTTCTAGATAAACAACTTCATGTTGAAAGGTTTGTTTCGTCGGGAAAGCTGATGGTAATACAGGTAGAGGTAACTGTTATAGAAGATGAAAAATAATCGTGAAATAATTTTAAATTGAAACGAAATTAAAAAAACTGTTTTTCTAAATTTGACATATAAAGTGACAGTTTTTGTAATTGCAGCAAGTGTTTACTTATGCTAAATATGTAAAATATATATTGGTGTGTTTTATTCTTATTAGCTATCTTTATGTATTTCTTCAGTTCTACTATTGTATAGGTTTTCAATAGGTATAGATATTTTATAATATTCCAAATCCTTGATGCAATCCTAAATGTTTTAGAAGCAATAAAATATTTTTGAAACATTATTATATTTTTTGACATTACGGTGATGTCATATTTTGTTTTTAGTTCAATAAAAACGTACCTATCTTTTAAAATATAATTTTGTGTTTTTTAATCGATTTGCACTTGCAGTCACTATTTTCACTTTTAGAATAACCCAGTTCAATCCGTTTACGTACGCTACTGTTGAAGATTCTAATATGAGCGAGAAAGCCTGCAAGAAACAATGATTTTATTAGAGCAACATCAACATTGTATAGATTTATGCAATGGTAGCATATCTATACCTATATTATCTAAGTTTATCATAACCTATACAATAGGTTCTTTTATTCGTCTCACTGGTGTATGAATGAACTACATCAATGCACACTAGACCTTTCGATTGGCCCGGTGTAAAACCCACTGTACCTTCCTGTCAGTGATGTAATGTCTACTGGTGGATATTTTCTTCTCCTGCTATTTAACAGGAGTGAATTACATTCAACATGTGTATAAGGAATAAGAAGGAAGTAAATTAGGGCAAATAAGGTGGTGTAATTGGTGTAGTTTACACTGGTGAACACTGCACCTCATAGTTTATTTTGCAGGTACGTACATGTACCATAGATCAGCAAAGAAAACGCAATAATTTTAAATATTTTTTCTTTACTTTGCCGAGAATCTATTTGAAGCGACTATTTTCGCCCATCCTGACCATCATCAGACCTACAATTTAATTAATATAGTTAAAGAAACAAGGCTAATACAATAATTAATTGAATTACATACAGTGAGTGCCATAAGTCTTACCCCCCTATCTAACTCGTTACTGGAGTCTTGTTAGGAAAATCGCCGAGACACGTCGATTTTTGATTTCTACAATGTACATTTTGTATGAATAATTTACCCTTAATTTCATCCCTTACTGGAGGGGAGCAACCCTTTCGAAAAATTTAAATGGTATGGGGTGGTGAGTGATAGCTCATTTGAAAGAGGGTTTTATTCTCTATTCAACCGTGTAAAAATTTTTGAAATTTACTTAATTAATCTCATCTAATTGTTGTTTCAGGATAACGGAAATTAACGTAGCGCTCTCATCTTTAGAATTAAAATTCGGCCCTGCATAAATTCGGTTTTGGTTCAGACGTGAAGTAAGACTTTTTGCCATTAGAAGGTCACTGTTAGTTTTCCTAGCTTTCCTATTTTGTGAGATTTTGTTATTTTTAAACATTAATAAATCAACACGTAATGAAGCAAATTTAAAATTTTTTTACACGGTTGAATAGAGAATAAAACCCCCTTTCAAATGAGCTATCACTTACCACCCCATGTCATTTAAATTTTTCGAAAGGGTTGCTCCCCTTCAGTAAGGGATAAAGTTAAGGGTAAACTAATCATACAAAAATGTACATTGTAGAAATCAAAAATCGATCTGTTGCGGCGATTTTCCTAATAAGACTCCAGTAACGGGTTAGTTATGGGGGGGTAAGACTTATGATGCTCACTGTATATATAAAATATGGTACACCAAGGACAATTTTTGAAGAAGTACAATTACTACTTATACTTGTAAAACTTTAATAAAATTCACCTTTAACCTTTAATCTTACACCCAACTTTGACATCTGCGTCTCTGATTGATAATATTGTAATCTATTTGTTCTATTTGCTAAATTTTACGAAACATAATTTAAAAATATTTTAAATAGTCAGTTTTGATAACGATACAGTATTGTTTTGTAAAGATAATAACTGGTAAAGTTTAAAAAAGAAATTAGAGTAAGACTTGAAAGAAAGAAAGAAATATGTATGGATTTATTGTCATTCTTAGATAATTGCATAGAATAGAAAGAAAACATTCTCGCTCTTAATATTGAAAGAAATTTCAGTATAGACACTGTATATTTAAATCAATTTAATTTCTTTAGGGTCTAGTAACCCACATTTTGCTTTATACTTATCATCAACTTATTATTAATATCACGAACTTTTTGTGAAATATTTACAATTTTTTTTTATATTTTTTAAGAAGTCATTGTTTGTTTTGTTGAATTAAATACCTAATTATAATTTTTTATTTTTCAGTGATCCGTGATTGGAATTATAACACTTAAATTAATTTTCAAATATTATCTATATCTCAAAGTAGTCTGAAGTAGATTATGAAAAAAAGAGAAAAACACTAATTCTGTCACCACGGGATCCTATCAAAACACATGACGTAGCAATTGTTATTAATAATTAAAATATGTTTAGAGGTCACAGTGTTTATCGTCTTCTTCGAATATTGTTATATATTATTGAAAATCCAAGTTTGATTGCGCTGAATCTAAAATAAATGGGCAGTTAACTTACTGCCATATTTTTATTATCTAATAAAACAAGATCAAATGGTTTATGCAATTTTTAATGCATAACATATCTTAAAATTATGTCCTAACATTTTAGGAGATGAGTAGGCTTTAAAGTGTAAAGACTTGGCAATAATTTAATTAAATATGTCTTTATACAAAACTTACATAATATTGAAGATGATGAAAGCCTTTCCCTTGGCAAAAAAATTGAATAAAAACAAAAATGAACCAATCTAAGATATAATTTCATTAATCATGTTTGTTTTCATAAAATTATAATCAATATAGTATATTTAAAACAATATCTTTTTGTCTACAGTTCAAATATCAAAAATTTCAGAACCTATCAACCATCTTAGTTATATTATGTTGATGCGATTAAAGAATATGTTATCTTGTAATAAAAAAAAAACAGTTATTTGGTATACGAAACATAAAAGAAACGTTTGAAGATTCTGATGATTCCGTAAAAGACAGAGATTATGTTCAGTCAGATGATTTATCAGCATGATGAAAAGTACCATGTTTTAGAAACTGGAAGTAGTATTATTCCAGCTTTTCCGCTTACTGACTCAAATATAGTCTCTTTAGAAAATGCAGATGTGCCAACAACATCCCTGATTGACGATAAAGCTAATGTAAGCAAAAGAGGTACATTCAGATTGAGAAAAACATACAGTTCCTCAAAATTAGAACGAAAAAGGGAAAAAGTACAACATTTAAAGAATAAGCACAACGTAAGAAATCTAGGCATACATAATTGTTGAAAAAGTGCTGTGAAATATTTTCAGAATTAAATCGTGAAGAGATTATTAAAATGCATTAAGAATTAAAATGGTGGGAACAAAAAAAAATTATTGCAGAACGAATTTGCAGCAAAATACCAGCACAAGAATAGAACTGACATTATTCATAAAAGAAATGGATCACTTTAGTTTACTTTTTTAAGAATGAGAAACTTGAATATGTCTGTAAAGAATTCTTTTTAACCACATTGGGTTTCAAAAACACACTAATAATTATTGTGCAGCATAATTCAGACATGTTTTCAATTCATTCTGGGAAAAACCGATACTATTTATAATTAAAAAATATTTTTTCTGGAAACCCCAATATATTATTTAATAAACTCGTTTAAGGAATTTCCATTTTAACTTTATTGAGAATATCTTTTAATAATTTAAAATTGGAGATTAGAAATACAAATATAAATAGACAGTCATAACCAAAGCCGAATGTTAATAGGTCATGCCGAAAATAACAGGTGGGGACTCAGCATGTATGCTTATATTTACACTAAAATAATACGTAATATTTTAAATCATTTATCTTTTAAATATAGCAGATTAAAACATTTCATTTATTCACGCAATATACTGGGTCTTCAACAATACCGAAAACCCACGTGACCAAATCGTCATGACAGCGATTGGTGAAAATAAAAGTAAAAATCCCTAAATTTGAGCCAGTGCCGTAGATCTTCTTTTTTATGGTCTGCAACTACGAGAACAAAATTCAGTTAGGTAACTGTTAGAATTACAACACAAAATCATAATATTAATTAGAGGTGCTTTACATTATTGTATTTTAATGTTAGAATTCGATATTTTAATTAGATTTAATCAAATTCAATAATCTAATTTTTAAAATTATGATATAAATAACATAACCTTAAAAACTGAGCTCTAGTTTGTATTTAACGAAAAGAATAATAAACTGAAATATGGTTCGTACTAGTTATTGTCACTACTACAAAAAAAAAAATCTTTACTAGAACAGGGCACAAAAAAGTTATGGATAAAAATGTTATGCATTAAAATATGAATAAAATTAAAAATTATTTACTTTAGATTGACTCTTTAAGGGCCGATTCCACCGAGATTAAAATGACATTGTTAATGTAAAAATGTCATTTTAAACTTCGTTTAACACCACGGTGGAATCGGTCCTAAGATAATTTAGCTACAGCTGAAACTCTAAATACGATAGGCAGAAGACAATGGCAGTATTTGGCAATTATTGCAGTTTAAGTAAACAAATTTAAAACTTACTGGAATTGAACCTGGACAATGGGAAGTAATAAACACGTAATTTAAGTTTGTTCTATTATTTATTTATTTGTTACAGGGTTTAAACCATTTACAAAAAACATTGTTATTTATATGCATACAAAAAAATAGTAATATTATTAATGTAACAAGCACATATTTGTTTTACTTTAAAGCTCTTACTTCTCACATTAAATTATAAAGGCATATCTATAAACAACTATTTTATTTAAAAGGTTATTGAGTAGTAATTGGTGGTGCACAAACGATACTAATTCACAGTACCTATCTGTTCAAAATCTTTACCACCAGCTTTAATGCAAGCATTAAACGTTGTTTTTTGAACACATTATGCAGTTTCTCTTCAGTTACATTTTGTATATCATTCAATATAGGTGCTCCAATTCATAAAAGTCACAAACGATTTTGAATTGAGCGATCTGTAATATTCCATATGTAGGTTTAACAAAATTAAGGTAAAATGATTGTTGCAGTATCGAAACTTTATAGGGGATGCATTATTAGAATTTTTTTTAACTTTATGGCTAGTTCGTAGTGATAAACCTAAAAAAAAATATGTTTTGAATTTCACTCGCCAGAGTCAGTCTTTAAAACACCGTTCATACCTGTTTGAGGTGCTGTTTTTTTACTAATTTATTGGGAATTAACACCATGTTAATTTGCACATCTTCAACAGCTTTTGTTATTACTTTTTGCATTTTAGACCTTTTTCCTTTTTTTGAACAAGTATTTGTTTATGACGACAAAAAAGAATCACATTCCATTTATTCACCTGGAAAACGTTCCTCAAATTTTCGAATACAATTACGAATATAAAATAATTTTGTTCCAGTATAACATCACCTAAAATAAATTATATAGTCATTAACTTTTACGAGTTACAGTAAATAAATTTGTACTTACCAACAAAAAAGAATTAAGCCACCAATATTCTCTAAAAATAACTAATTGCTTTATTAATATTAAATGAAAAATGGACTAAGGGTGTTTATAAAATGTAAACAAATATAATAATATTGTCAGTCCCCAAATGAACGCCAGTGACATTTCTGACAGGATTAACAGTTCAGTTTAGTTCCTTTTACGTCAAATCAGGCCCTTTCGATGGGTTTTTGATGGTTATCAGATCACGTGGGTTTCGGGTATTGTTGAAGACCTGGTATTTAATTTATAGGGACATAGTGTATACTTTAAATGGTGGCAAATACTTTATAGATCTTGAATTATGCATAGAAAATTATTAATATTAAACCGGCAAATATTTCGATGAAATCGAATCCATACCTGGAACTACCGATTAGCATATAGGAGCTCAGATACAACTATACCATCAAAACAAAAGCAAAAATAGTAAGTACTTTTTAAACAATGCTCTTTTAATTTTATTTATTTTGCAACCAATAAAAAACTGTAAATTTATGGAGCAATTTTTTTTCGCAACTCAATATAAAAATTTTAAGTAATAAAATAAATGCTTTTATTTATAAATATTGATAAATTTTAATTAAAAATAATCGGTTCATTATTAACATTAAAATAATATAAGTCCTCTTTTATCTCTTATATAAACTTAAATTATTATACAAAGTTAACAAATTGATGCCACCAAAATCAGAAATTAATTTAAACAGGATGAACACACCTAATAAACTGAAGAATAATAGTTATTAATTATGTTTTTTACTGTCATAACTTTGAATTAAAATATTTTAAAAAGTAATCGATGTAACTTTTTTTTAATATAACCTCAAAAAAAGTGTTAGCTTTTAATCCCTCGTATTACATTGAACATTTTAACGTAAATATAGCTCAAGGCAAAGTGGGAAAGGTTAGTGTATTGTAAAATAAATAAAATTATGTTCTCATATACACTATCTCATTACCCAAAAATGCAAAGTTCTTAAATTTTACCAGAAATAAAGCCAACCGAAGAGACCTGAGAATTATATAAAAATACAGTACTTTTCGTTTTAATATATCTTTATAAAAAAGACAAATAACTTTATATTTACCCATATAAGATTTAACAGAAAATCTAGCATATTTTTAACAAAATTTGCAAATAGTTTCAAAGTTGTGATTACTTCATCATCTAATACACGTAGTGGATAGAAATAAAATATTAACGGTAGAGATATTGACAAAATATTGTAATAAAAATATATAATAAATGTAATAACCTGTATGTAATCAAGATAAATTTAAGGCAGCTATATACAGGGTGTCCGGGAAAATGTGGAAGGCCTCTTGGATTCAGACGAAACATTAAAAAATAAGATGACAAGTTCCCATAAATTTTTTTCCCACGGCCCTCCCTACGGAGATACGGCCTTCAGAAGCACGCCACTGGAAATCAATTTTTTTGAATAACTTTCAAACTACGTAATATAATTTAATGAAAATTTAATATGATAAACAGTAGTAAGAACCTCTTAAAATATTGCCCTTAAAACATAATTTACAAGGAGCGAACTATGTTGTACATTTTATTGCTTACATTTGTAACACCCTGTATGATAAGGGGTTAAAAAAAATAAATTTAAAATCTTGAATATTAAGCCAAAGAAAAGGTACTTTTCTTCATTGTCAATAAAATGAACCGTTTTCGAGAAAAAAAAAAATGAAAGGATTAATGTTCTATATTTATTAAAAATTAACCATGATTTCCATTTTTTTCTGTAGCAAAATGTGATTCGAAAGTCTTTGAAATGGAACTGTTATCAGAATTAAAAAAAGCACTGTTTTTACAAACGTTACTATGGTACCTACGACATAAATGAATAATTGCATTGACATGTGCATTTTAAATCTTGTTGACACGTTGCTCTTTTAGTATTCCGATATTAATTTATTGAATTTTTAATATCTTGGTGAATTTAATTCAATAAAGAGATACCTACACATTTAGTATATATCTTATATACGGTCTTGCATCTTGCAATGCTTATGAAGCAAGAAGGTTGTATGAAGAAAAATATCCTAATCGCAATATTCCAAATGAGAAAACATTTACAATTACTAAGGTAACATTATTGACTTTCTTTAATAATTTTTAGAAAGTTTTGGGAAAAAAAGTACTGATGCTGGTGTGACAAGATCAGTACGTACGGTGCATTTGGAGAAAAATATTTTGGATACTGTAGCTGATATTCCTTCAATAAGCACTCGAGGATTAGCCACGCAGCGACATGTGTCAAAAATGACAATTGCTGAAGTACTTAAAGAACATCAGGTAAGTTTGTTTTATGGAGAGTAGAGGAAAGGAGAACAATCTCTGTATACAAAAAGTGTCCCTCAAAATGTATACAAATATCTGTGCCCAGGGGACGTCGACAGTCGATAATTCAGATCACACAATGACACCAATGATGTATATAGTAATAAATATTGCTCAACCATAAAAAACTAAAAACTACACCGTGAAAAGTGACTGATCGTAGAAGAGTAAGTGTTCTGTGATCGTAGATAAATTTTGACAATACACGACAATAGTCAAATTTTATTGAAAAATAATAATATAAACAATAAATAATTCTTATATTAAAATGGCACGGAGGTCTCAATTCACTGCTTTTTGTCTGATTTCATTATGAATGAGCAATCTATATGACTATATAGCATTGGATTTTGTCCCCTGGCTCCACGAGCGCCATCTTAATTGTATACATTTTGGTGGCCACTTTTTAATATAAAGATCCATATAAGATTGTCGTCCTTTTCTCTACCCTCCATATTTTGTTTATATAAATTGTTGTTTTTAGTAAATAAGCATCTATAACTAAGTAATTACATTAATAATACAGGTTATGAACTTGTGATTTTATATTATTGAAAATTAAATCGTTCTTGAACTTATTTGTTTTTCGCTTACTTCGTCATAGTTAAGAATGCCTTAATATATTATCAGTTTAGGGTTTTATAATATTTGAAAAAATAATGAAAACCTATGATCTAAGGGCTTTCTTAGCTGTTAAGTTACGAAACTAAAAAAATGCATTTTAGAATGCATCACAATGGACGCACTCTTTTTTAAAGCAGGAATTATCTGTTAATATTCTATATCAGTTTGTTTAATTTCTCCTATTTCACCTATTGTCAGATGGCATCTGGTGGAGATGTGTTCATAAAAAGAAACGCGCCCTTAAAAATACCCACAATTAGTATACAAATTAAGTATTTGTTTTTCAGAATCACGCCAATATGTCCACAAGAACTCTAAAATTGTTTGATATGGCTTGTAGTAGTAAATTAATTGAATCAAATAAATGCAGTATTCCTGAAAGTGACAATTTCAAAAACGGTATTACGGGCCGTGACGTAATTATAGAGGTCAATCATGAAGAAATTTGCAAAATTACCCAACCGCTTGTTATAAACGATGAGATACTCTATACTGTGCCCAAAGTGGACTTTGATTTTATAGATATCCCTGAAATTAGCGCTGATTATAGCAATATTGAGAAAAATAATGGTGTTTTTTTATTGGCATATTATTAACTTCAAATGAGATTGAGTGTCTCAACGATTTTGAAAATTTAGAGCCAAGCTCCAAAGTACGTAACCTAGATGACCAAATCATTGAAGAGAACCAATGCCCAAAAAAAGCAAAAAGATAAGACGATCCAGACTGAGAAACCGCTTTTAGTTCATCAGAAGAAGAACTCTTGGAAAAATATAATAATCCCGAGCAACAAGACAATACAACTAAAACATAATTGGAAAATAAACCAGTGAAATAAGGCATGTTGATACTAAGAACTGGGAGCAGGAAAAAAATAGAAGCAAAAGAGAGACTGGTCTAAAATATTTAGGAAAAACGAAAAATGGTGATGATTGGATGTACAATATTGAAAAACCACAGAAAGAAATACAAGATAGATGAAAGTGCGTAACTAATTAAAAATCAAAACAGAGATGCTCTTAGTTTACTGATGACCGAAAATCAGTATTTCAGCAATTTTGGAAGATGTATTGGGGTGAAAAGCAGGTGTTCATAACAACGCAAGTTGAAAACACACAAAAAAGTAGGAACAGGAGAAAGGAAGTACCTAACAGAAGAACGTGCACCTACATTTTCTCTCTGAAGAAAGCAGATGTGATCAAAATAAGAGTATGCAAAACTTTATTCGCCAATACATTAGCTATTAAACAGTGGACCATTAATAATTGGTTGAAGCAAAATCTCAACATATCCCAGCAAGAAAGAAAGAAAAAGAAGATCAAACTGACATTGAAAATAACCAAACGGAAATTAATGAAAAAGCAGGGAACTAAGAAAAAGTCATTTAAAAGAATTTTTTGACCTATTTCCAAAAATGGAGAGCCACTATTGTCGAAGTTCTACTAAGAAACATTATTTGGAGCCTGACTGGAAATCCAAAAGTCAGTTATACGATTTTTACAAAACTTTTTGTTCCACAAACCATGATAATGAACCACCATTATCTATAGCTACATTTTATCACATATTTTCAGACTTGAATTTAAGTCTTTTTATGCCAAAAAAAGACAAGTGCGACTTATGTCTTCTCTATAAAACAAAGAGTGTTCCGAAAGAGGTTTATGCATTGCATCAGAAGTAAGAACAGAGAAGGATGAAGATAAAAATAATTCCACTGATGAATATAAAGTGTACACTATGGACATGCAAGCTGTTTTCCTAGAACCAAAATCCAATGTGTCAGCACTTTATTATAAAATTAAATTAGCTGTCATCGATTTTACCTTCTACGATCTGAAAACTGAAGATGAATCCTGCTTTGTATGCAACGAATCAGAAGGAGGATTAACAGCAAGTGTATATGCTTCAAATATAATGAATTTCCTTGCTAGAGGAACTGACAAGCATCAGGTGCCGTATATCATCTACAGTTATGGATGTACAAGTCGAAACAGGAATGTGACATTATCCAATGCTCTATTAAATTTAGCACTTTTTTTAAAAAATATTACCATTTTCCAAAAATATTTAGAGCGTGGGCATATCCAGATGAAGTGCGATTCGATGCACTCCACCATTGAAAGGCAGATAAAAAATGCAATAATAAACGTTTCTGCAGACTGTATTACGATATTCAGAGCTGCTCGCAAAAATCCTTCTCCGTATAAAGTTGAGTATTTAAACCACCAGTTCTTCAAAGACATTAGTTCTCTCCAATATTACCCTTCTATTAGACCTAGGACATCTGTCACAGTAAACTGTATAAGACAACTCAGATATGACTAGATGACACAGTTGGATACAAGATGAGACACATTAACGAATGGTCATGTCTCTCAATACGACGTAAAAAAAATGGCAACAACCCAAAGAAAATTGAAGATTTACTACCGATATATTTAGATCGACTTCCAATAAAAAAAAACCAAGTATGATCAGCTTATGAGTTTAAAGACAAGCATAACTCAAGGTTATTATGCTATTCTTAGTTTTCTTATACTTAATAAAATTATTTCCTAATAGTGTAATTTATATACCAAAAATCCCATAACTCAAAAAAAATTCAAAATATCTCGAAAATCACATAACTCCGATACAATAATATAAAATCAAATTTTGTCAGTTTATTTTACCTATAAATACACAAACAAAATTAATTAACACCCAGAAAAATAAAAAATTTACCTTTCACGATTCCATAGATTTACAGTTTTTTCTCTCCTATAAAATTAGGTTTTTGGGCAAAACACCCTGTAGGTAGTAATACATATTTAATTGTTTTCACATTGTCAAACAATTTTAATTGACTTTATTCATTTGCTATGTTGTATATAGTATATGTCAAAACGCGAAATTACAATTTTTCCAATTTTTTAAATGGAATACCCGGTAATAATTAATTGGTAAATTAATATATTTTTTCAATAGAGTAATTTGAAAAACATATAATTTGTCACTTAAAATTGATAGCTTAATATGTAGGTATGTCTTTTTCATAACCATATTACTTTAGTTAGAAACTTATTTGCGCGTCTACTTGTATAGTACAAATTGAAATACCGAGCAATTTCACACTAATGAATTTCACACTAATTCAAAATAAATAAGGCCAAAAATAAAATTTATTGGAGATATAGTACATATAAAAGAAGAAAGAGGAAAATTACTCTCAGACTAACTACTACTATATATTTCTCCTACACTTCCTTACGATCACGGCATAAACAAAATAAATAGCAACTTTTTCTAGAATATATCGATTCTGTCTTCCTGAATACTTCCGGTATCTTCAACGAAAGCTGATTTCCAGCTAAATATTTACGAGCGTACATTTCCCATTTCTGATTATAGTTTTTGTAGTAAACTTTGTAACAGGAAACTCGCAAAGTTCAATAAATAAATTTATTAAAGAAAACAAGTAATTGAAAAACAAAAACTTTTATGTGCAATCTCAACGATGAATGGACTTTCTATTAGGTCACAGATTTGTAGGAATATGTTTATTATTTCAAGATTATTTAGATAATAATAATTGTATATGAAGGAAACTCTAATTATTTATTAATAAGATATTTATTAAATACCCAAATTTTGTATTTATCGTATTTTATCGCAACATATAGTAGTTAGGGCTCTCATATTTATATGGGAACATAAATTATTCTAATAAATAAACAAATATAAGAATGTTAACAATAATATGCTGATATATGCATAACACAAAAACGTACAAATTTAAATAATCCCAACTACAGTCGCTGAATCAACTTCTGCCCTATCTGCAAGAAAAGTAAGGACTGAATATTCAGGATTTTTCAGGAATAATCCAAATTGGATTCCTGAGATTCGGACATAATATATATTTTTCTCTAAATTGAATCTTTTTAAACTTCTTTAAATATCGAGAGAAAATAGAAGTTTTGATTATTTTATCCTATTCTACAGAATATCCTGAAATATTATAAATGTGTGAACTGGTCAAGATAGAGCAACTCATTTACAATTGTATTCCCTTATATTCCATTATACATAAAATTTATTTTTTATTCATTAATGATCCTGTTACTAAAAAGGTTGGATGGATAGTTAACCGTTTGACCCACGTTGATGCAAGTATTATTTACAATTTTGTTAGCGATATTGTTTAAATGACTCTTAAATACCTGTGCCACAAATTAATGATGTCATTTCTTTCTAATATTATACTTTTAAAACCACACTTCAGATATTCAAAACCAATCTCTTTTATCAACCTACATAGGGCTCTTAAAGAGAACTATAGTGAATTCTGATTCCCGCGAATAATATCAGAAATTGCATTCAGAGTTGGCGGAATGTTTTTTTTTAATTATTAATTACTATTTCTCTCAATAAGCTCTTAAAACCCCCATCATATGTATATTGGCAAGAATTTGACTGCTTTATCCGGTTTTTTCTTCTTGCAGGAGATATAAATTCACCATTGTTTTGTTCCTCCTGTTTTTTAATGAAATAAATTGTTTTTTAACTGACACAACTTATTTTGAAAGCACGACTTACCGCTGCAGTCACACTCAATTTTTCGTCATTGACTAAATAAAAAATCATATTAAAAATAACATTTTTCGCAGACACATTTGTCGGCGTTTGAATTTCTTTAACTTCATGTTGCAGGTAATAAAACACAACTAAATCAACACCAAAAAAAGTTATTGATTAATTAAATGTCAAAGTTTTGACAATTATAAAACATTTATGGATTTTCAATATGAGTATACAATTGGGCATTCTACACAAAATGGTTATCCGTAGGTAATGACAGGCCACTGACAGGCACATGACAAGTTATGATATGGCAACACTATGGACCTGTGAAATTGGAATTGTTTTATTTTTATGACTAAAGAAATGCAATAAAATTAAATATTTTTATTTGTATATTTTTTTTATTTTTCTAAACAATTATATCTTTGAAAAACCTTTACTCCAGGAATGAGACTCTTACTGATTAAATGTATGTAATTAAGTTTAGGCCAAAAATTACCTATCTCAGGGCACTTGGGCATCCCTATACCCATTGTGCATCTTCCTGAGATGATAGGCACCTCCTAGCTCGCGATCCAGCCTACAGATCCAATGTAGCTGACAACGTCGCCAAGAGGTGCTTCTCTTATATCGGCCGGTGTTACCCGATACTCGCCGAACACAAATTATCTAATAAATAAGAGCGTTGAGCAATCGTAAAGAGTATGCTTGATGGACGCATCTTTTTGTTTGCATCCTCTGCAGACTGCGGATTCTGACAGCCCCATGATGTGGAGATGCTTTCGTACTTAGCAATGACCAGTCAGAATGCCTGTGCCTAGGCGCAGATTCTGTCCAGTCATTGTCAAGTATTTGTTTGCTGCAGTGTTGTCAGAATAACTTAAGAACTCCCTGGCAACTTTGCAATTTCTTGTTTTATCCCATCTTTCCTTAAATTTAAAGGAAATGTTCTTTAATTAGGTCTATCACTACCGATTTTGTCAGGCCAATAGAAGGACCAGGTTCAAAAAGTATTTGGTTGGCTATTTTCTTGGCTAGTGAATCAGCAAGACCATTACCTTTAGATGTGGCGTGACCTATGATCCATCTTAAGATGACCACATTGTTGATGGATACTTCGGCCAAAGCTTCGTGACATTCTAGTACTAACCCTGAGTAAATTCGTGGTCTGTTCAGGGTGAGTAGTGCTTGTCTGCTATCTCTATAGATGAGCATGTTCCTTTCAGTAATATTGTTCCTGGTTATTTCTTTTGCTGATATGAGAATCCCCGTTAGCTCTGTTTAAGCTACACTGGAGCTATTGTTTACACTCCATTTTATGTTTAGGTTTAAGAATCTAGAGTATATAAGACGTATCTGCCACTTACAGCACTTCTGTTTGTTCTCTTATAACTTTATATGGCTTATGGAAGATACATTTCGGTGAGATCGAGTCTATGTTCACTTAAAGTAGTGGGAGCGTATCAAGCGCATCCTGCTAAAAGCGACGTCTTGCCTCACCAGATCTTACATCATTTTCTAGTCCAACAGTACGGAGGCATGTCATTATCATCATAGCAACCTCCTTGATGTAAATATCAAGGGGAGTGAGACTAAGAATGACTTCCATGGCTTTGGTCGGTGTTCTTTTTATGTCTCCTGTTATCCTGAGACATGCTGATCTTTGAATTTGTTATAGTTTACGGATAGCTGTTAATTTTTGAGTTTTCGGTAGCCAAACAATTGCTCCGTATGTTAGCATAGATCTTATGATAGCGACGACTTTGGGGGAGAAACCCCAGGTGCGCCTTACGCTTCGGCGATATTGTTTACAAGCAATGTATTCTCTTTTAACTCTGTTTTCTAAATGCGAGTTCCATGTTATCTTGCTGTCAATGATGAGACCTAGGTACTTCACCTCTGTTGCTAAGTTTAATTTTGTGTTTGGAAGTTTTGGAGGGTTTAACTCCATTTTCCTTGTGAAAAGGACCATTTTTGTCTTCTAAGGATTGATAGACAGTGAATGGTCCTTGCACCACTGTTCAATAATTAGTATTTTCTTAAAATTCCCTGTTTGCAGAATGGCCAGGTAATCTACATATGCTAGTAAGTAGTGACTGTCATTATTGAGGTGGCTAATGAAGGTGTCGAGAGATGATAGAACCCCTCCCTGTGGACATCCCCTCGCAACCAAACCTCTTATATTTACATCTTCTACATTTATTTTTGCTGCTCGCTTTGAGAGCATATTATGTATCCACCCACTAACCATTTGTGGAACGTTCTTGTTGGTTAGTGAGTATATTATCTTTGGGAAAGTGGTTTTATCAAAAGCTCCTTTTATGTCTATGAAAACAGCTAAGGCGAACTCATAATTGTCCAGGGATCTTCCTATTTGGCCAGCAACTAGATGAAGGGTTGAATCAGTAATCTGACTGGGGTGCATGCATGTTGGTTTGGGTGTAGAGGCCTTGTTGTAATCACAGCATCCCGTATGTATCTTTCGCATAGCCATTTCAATGCCTTTATGGAACACAATTTCAGACTAATTGGTCGGTATGTTTCTGGGACAGTGTAATCCATCCTTCCAGGTTTGGGTGTAAATACATACAACTTTTACCTCTCTCCATTTTTTGGGGATATACCTTATAGCCAACAAGGATCTGAATATACCCACCAGGTTCGTTGTGAGTTCTTCCAGACTTCACTGAAGTAGGGCTGGATAGATACCGTCAGGTTCTGGCGATTTAAATTGAAAGAAGCTGGATATTGCTCATCTAATT